AAAGTGATGAAGTGCTTGAACATCATCTCATGGAATCAAAAAAACATTCAGGCCAGAGAAGACTTCAGGAGGTTTCTAAGTCCAACCACTTGCCCAAAGCAGGATCAGCATCAAGTTTGGGTATTATCCCACTGCTGTAGTGGTCAGGCATGTGTGGTCCTAACCATGAACCCCAATAGAGGAAGGGAGCCTGGTCAGAAGGGGAATTCAAAGAACAAATCAGAAAAACCCAGAGCTGGTCGCTCTAAAAATCAGAAAACCCAGAGCTGGTCGCTCTGAGGGAGTGCCAGGAGGTGCCACAAAGTCCAGATTTATTGGTCCTCAGTTTATTGAGCCTCTTTATTGATGCCCTGCGTTGGGTGACGGTGCCGTATTGGCAGTGGCCCTGGCACAGCTGGCACACTGGGATGTCCACATTGGGTGGTCGGTCTCTGTGTCATTACGTGATTCACAGCGACTTGGTGTAGACTGAGCTTACAAAGAAGATTACAGACCATGACTTTGCTAGTCTTTTATCTTATTATAAGGGTTAGATGTCAACCAACTCATCGTCCATACCTGGACATCTGCTGTAGGGATCTTTGTGTACAGTGATGATCCTATCCCAGGTGTATGTGGTAACTCATCACCCTTAAACGTAGGGGAGATTTTTTAAAAAAAATTCCTTTAGAGAGAGGTGAAGGTACTGCAAGGTGACTTGGTTTTAAGAGTTTCCTACTAGAGACCCTTAAATATCTCAAATACGTGGTTTGTGCTCATTTGCGGGACATGGTGACTTCTGACAAACCCACTTCCGTTAAGTCCACCATCTCTCCTGTTGCTTAATCAACAAAATGCTGCTTGGGCATGGGGTGGGTACCCCAAAAGTGGAGTCGTGTGTGTTAGCCCTTGCTCTGCTTTCTGCTTTGTCACGGGTGTTCAAGGGGGAGCATCCCCAGTGCAGAGCCCTAGGCTTGGATTTCCTCCAGTGCCAGCTTCAAAATAAAATAAAATAGGCAAAACCCCTTTGTTTTGTGTTGTGTGGCCCCAGGGGATGGAGGATACCTTCTGGCTCTGCTTGCTCCATCCCAAGTGATGCCACCTGTATCAGCTGTCCCCTACCTCACGTGGTCACCTCCCCACGCCATTGTGCCCTCTGGGACTCATTGCAGCTACTTATTCTCCCAACTCTTTATTTTAGCACTTTCTATTTAATAATTGGTGCTTTCCATTTGGTAATTGGCACTAATTAGCTAAAAGGGGAGAAACATGCCCTTCTCCAGGGCTCCATGCTCTCTGGGGCTCCTCTTTTTTTTTTTTTTTTCCTTGCCTATTTTTTTTTTCTTTCTCCTTTTTAATGTGCCACATGATTTTTGTTCAGGAGCTAATGTGTGATATTGATCTACATAATGAGCCTTTTTGACAGTCTGGGCACATTTGGGAATAATTCTTTGAGCAGATGAAGTCCTTAGGCCAGAACTGCTCGTTCTCGGCAGTTTCCAAATGAAGCCACAATTGTTCAGAAGTGACAGATGAGAAATAGTTCAGGAGTTGGAAATTACACGAGCTGGGAACAGATTTTTTTTTTTTCCTTCTCTTCCGGATGGTGTGTGACTCACTCCAAATTTGCTTCGTAATTTTATACTCGTCTCAAAACAGACTGTAAATACCAGTTCCTGATGAAGGAGAGGGTGAGGGATGAAGTCTTGGTGTCCTGCAGTGTGGTCGGAGCTCCTGTGTCTTCTCCCTCCTAACTGCAGGGGAGGAGGAGTTTAAGTCTTACTGAAAGACACTGGTCCAGAGATTAATTTGTGTGTAAACATGCCCAGCCCAGGTACAGGAGTTGATGGTTTCTTTTCTTTAAGGTGTGAGTGGCCTTCAGCCATGGAGAAATAAGGAGGAGAGGGGTTGTGGAGCTCCCTCCACAGTGCTTGGGTGGGGGACGATGCGGATGCTGAGCCCCTCCCCATCACTCACCACAGCTGCTCTGGATGGGGCATACGAAGCTTGGGGTGAACTTAGAGCCAGCACCTGACTGATGGCCAAAGAAGTGGTGTCAGCCCCCCAGAGTGGTCCACAGCAATGAGTCCCAGAGGTTTTATGTCACATGGAAAATACTTTTTTTTGTTCTTTCTTGTCCTTGCTGTTGTGGGTTCAGCCCATGTTTGCAACTCAAGCAGCTCCTGGTTGGGTCAGTACTTTGAGGAGAGACCTCCCAGGAAATCTGGCGATGAGTACTGAAGGGCAGGACTTGAAGAGTGTCATCTGCAGGGTTTTGCAGCTGGAATGGTCCCAGCTGCCTGCTCTGTGCCTCTGGGCACCCCAGGCATGGGCAGGAGAGAGGACCATGTGAGAGGGTGGCTTGGGTGGTGGCAGTCCCCTCCTCAGAGCAAACTCTGCCTGTCCTTGCTTGCACGACGAGGTGTGTGGTCCTTACAGACTGGAAGCTCTTGTGTTGACCATGCAATATGCAGCCACTGATAGATGGACAGGCTGTGGCTCCTTGCTCCAACCTGGGCTTTGGAAGTCTTGTAAACCTAAGTCTTGTTTGAAGGAAGTATCCGTAGCCACTTTCATCTGGGTGAAGGTCTCCTGATGCTGTTTCCATCTCAGAAGACCACAGGAGGACCTCTCCGTGCCTTTTGCTTGCATGTGAAATGTCCGTTTTGTTTCTGTCCTTGGTGATGGTGTGGTTTGTGGAGCTGTCTTGTTCTGTGCCTGAGAAGGTAGCATTTCAGCGACATGAAGGGGATGTCCTGTCTGTTGCTGGAAAACAATGGCCAACTTTCAAAGGAGTGTGTTGTCTGGGATGGATGCACTGGGTAGGTGCACATGGTGATCCCAGGAGCATCCACCTGAACATCATTAGTAGAGCTGCCCTTACTAGCAATGCTTCATTTGAGGTTTCATCAGCTTTTCTTCATTAGATGCACATCTTCAGATGATCTGGATGTCAGCTGTTGACATCCTTATGGAATCATTCCCTGGCTAAGGGACACCTGCAGGATTTGCTACGGTTTTTAATTCACTATATGGTTCAGAGGAGATGAAAGTGGTTTGAGTTCAGTCTCTTGCGTCAGTTGAGGAGGTGTATGTGGACTGGTGTATCCATTCTCATGTGTTGGCTTTGGAAAGTGGCTGGGGATGTAGAGGGATCTGGCTTTGATCAGAAACAGCAAAACACTTAATTCCTTGATGATCTGTGCCCTAAACAAGACTATCCTAATAGGGTTTGCAATTTAAGCCCCTGGATAATGGCTTCTTATTCTGCTAGTCATAATCTACATATACATATTTAGGAGATGGCTGTGCTCCTGGAGCAGAAACCGGAGGGAGGGATAACCTGGGCTGTCGGGATACTTGGGTAGCTGAGTCAAGCCTTAAAGCCAACGACATCACAGAATCATTAAGGTTGGAGAAGACCTTTAAGATCAAGTCCAGCCATCAACCCAACACCACCATGCCCACTAAACCATGTCCTGAAGTGCCACGTCCACATGTTTTCTGAACACTTCCAGTGATGGTGACTCCACCACCTCCCTGGGCAGCCTGTGCCAATGTTTGACCACTCTCTTGGTAAAGAAATTTTTCCTAATATCCAGTCTAAACCTCCCCTGGCACAACTTGAGGCCATTTCCTCTCATCCTATTGCTGGTTACTTGGGAGAAGAGACCAACACCCACCTCACCACAACCCCCTTTCAGGTAGTTGTAGAGAGCGATGAGGTCTCCCCTCAACCTCTTTTTCTCCAGACTGAACAACCCCAGTTCCCTCAGCTGCTCCTCATCAGACTTGTGCTCCAGACCCCTCCCCAGCTCCGTTGCCCTTCTCTGGACACGCTCCAGCACCTCAGTGTCCTTCTTGCTCACATCCTTGCACAGCGTTCTCTTTCTACTCTGCTCTGTATTTTAACTTTAACCAGCAAGAAGGTGTTAAAACCCTACATACAGAACATTTAGTGATTCAGGCTCTCACCTCTGAAGGTTTGTGTCTTGGTTGCGCTATCTGCTGGTTTCCTGGAGTCAGTTTGCATCCTGAGGATGCTTTATCTTAAAGGCATCATAAAGCCCCTGTGTCTTCTGCAGAGCTGTTCTCCTGCAGAGCTCACGCTCTCAAGCTGGTGAGGTGGGCAAGGGTTTTATCCCCCTGGAAGCATTGGCCCCTCAGAACTGGGAAAGGACCTTTTCATGTTGCTCCAGCCAGCAAAACCATGGTTCCACAGCACTTGTTGGACCAGCAGAGCAGGACTCGGTTTGGGAGAAGCAGCACTCATGTCTGGTCAAGATGAACGTGGGCTTGTGCCTCCATGAAGGTGATACCTTTGCTCTGGCAAGGGCTTGGGGCTGTGCTGGCTCGGAGCTCAGACGGGGAGCATCGTTTTTTCTGTCGACTGGTTGAGGCAGAACATGCTTTGTTGTTTTGCAGGGTTTTTCCCTTTTTTGCTTTTTCTAATCCGTTTTTAACAATGAGAGGTTTTAAAAATAGATTCTGGTTTGATCTCTGTTTCACCTCCACGTGCAAACCTCCTCACTGGACCATTTACAGTCGTGCTGTTGATTCAGCATCATTTACTGCTGCCATCCTAGAGAAGCTTTTCAGTTACCATCATCTTCCTCACACCCCATTCATCGTCCATCATCCCCAGCTTATCACCCTTATCCAGCACAGCTAATGCCTTGGGCTTTTTAAATTAAGCTTTTTAATTTTTCTCTTGTGCCTGTGTCTGGAGGTTTTCAGTACCTTGGCTTTTAAGAAGGACGATAAGCAAAACGTCCATTGTTGTCCTTGGATGTAGGAATATTATCGAAATGGGACTTCTTTTCTTTGTGTACGCATGGAAACTCTTAAATGTGACCACCTAGGATTATTATAAATGGTGTTGGATGTACAGCGGAAGTATCCTGCCTGTGGTAACTGGCTACTGTTTTTTAACCTTTTTATAATTACTGGAAAATAATTTCTTGCCTTTTTTTATTTTGCTTTCTCAGGCCCCCTCCGTTCTCGGCGTCTCTCCTGAAGGGATGGAGAATTCATCGGTGGCATCGGCCTCCTCGGAGGCGGGGAGCAGCCGCTCTCAGGAGATCGAGGAGCTGGAGCGTTTCATTGACAGCTACGTCCTGGAGTATCAGGTCCAGGGGCTGCTGACGGATAAAACGGAGGGGGATGGCGAGAGCGAGAAGACGCAGTCCCACATCTCACAGGTGGGTGAAGGGCACAGTGTGGAGTGGGTGAGGGGCTGGGGGATGCTGGTGGCTTGTCACCTGGGTTGGGGATGCGCATCCACTTGAAGCAGCTTTTTGAGCATTGGGGTGTAAAGCAGGACATAATAAAAGACTGGGTTTGGGGCAGCTTGCATCTTCAGGAGGTTACGAGGTCTCCAACCAGTTGGTAGAGGTCTCCTGCCAACTGGATTTTGTTTTTCCATGGTCTCAAGATGCGTGCCCTGAAGCTTTTTGACTTCTCCAAGGTTCCCATTTATAAATGAAGGACATTTCATTTGTAAATGAAGGGTGCCTCTCTCCATCATAAACAGCATCCTGCTTTGCCAGGTTGGAAAAATCCTGGAGGGATTGGGAAGGGGCTGCAGCGGAGGGGATGCTTGCTTGTGAGATATGTTCCCATCATATGCACAGGGGTGTTCATGAAACAACCAAGACCAGAAGATCAATCAAAAGCCCCAAATGCTCCCCAAAAGTGTGGTTCTTGTGGGCATTTTAATATTTGTAATAACCTGTTTGCTTGCTTCATGGCTGCTATGTCAGAGAAGGCAATTGCTGTATTTCAGAGGATGGGAATACCCAGCAAACAGAGGGATGGTTTTAGCAGGGATGTAGTTTGGTGTTGTCATTAGGAATGACATGGTCCTAGCTAGGTTTGTTCCTAAAGTGGACATTTTAGGAGAGATGAAGGAGAAATGAAACGTCCTGAACTGTTGTTGTTGTTCAGAGGGAAATGGTTTGTATTCTGGTGCCATGGTGTGCCAGATGTGTGCTGAAGATGTGAACTCTCAAAGGGATAAGGAGCCCATGGTGCGGGGAGGGGTGAGATCTGGTCTGTGCCCTTGGGCTTGTAAGGCTGCCATGATCCTCCATTTGTGATAGAGGTGCTTTCCTACCCCGCAGAGCTTCTGGTAGCATAAAATATTTAGGTTAGAGACCACTTACGTACTGGTTACGAGGATGAAATAACAATAATAAGACCGAACGGTCATAAGGGTAAGGATATGTCCATCATTAGATGTGTTTGAGCTGCTGGAGGGCTCTGCTGGCCTGATTTGGGTCTTTGTCTTTTTATATGAGGTACAAGCGAGACTGATCCCAAGGAGAGATCCTTTGACCACTTCACATTAAGCTTTAACGTTAGCTTAACGGCTAATGAGGCTGCGTGGCAAAGCCAAGCTGAGGGTACGATGATGGGGAGGGCAGAGTCCAAGCTGGGTTTGTTGAGGACCACAACCTGCTCCAGTATGCAGAGAAGTTTTGTTGTGGGTCATTTTATCTCTCATTTCACACTGAAGTCTATTAATTGCTTACAATTGAGGCCCTGCTTCCCTATGGTTTTGTTCTGCCGTTAAACTGGGAGGAGCAGTTGGGGTAATGAGGGCAAGGGGCTCTCCTGCCAGCTGCTGGAGGTGCCCACTTCTCCTGTCCCGTGCACCCCATGTGCTGGTAGTGGGCATCACAAAAGCCAGTGTCCTCAAGTCCATCAGAGAGGACCTTTCTTTCCACTCATGAGGTTCAACAGGGCCAAGTGCAGGGTCCTGCCCCTGGGTTGGGGCAACCCCCGGTATCAGCCCAGGCTGGGGGTGAAGGGATGGAGAGCAGCCCTGCCGAGAGGGACTTGGGGGTCCTGGGGGATGAAAAGCTGGACACGAGCCGGCAATGTGCGCTCCCAGCCCAGAAGCCAACCGTGTCCTGGGCTGCCCCCAAAACCGCGTGGCCAGGAGGGCGAGGGGGGGGATTCTGCCCCTCTGCCCCGCTCTGGGGAGACCCCCCTGCAGGGCTGCGTCCAGCTCTGGAGCCCTCGGCACGGGAGAGACATGGACCTGCTGGAGCGGG